CAGCGCCTCCTCATCCTCACAGGGAAGAATTTCTTCCCAATATCCCATCTAATATTCATCTCTGGCAGTGAGGAAGTCATTCCCCCTTGTCCTGTTACTCCAGGCCCTTGTCCAAAGTCTCCTCTTGGAGCCCCTTTAGGCACTGGAAGAGGCTCTCAGCTCTGCCTGGAGCCTTCTCTTCTCCAGGCTGAGCATCCCAAGCTCTCCCAGCCTGGCTCCAGAGCAGAGGGGCTCCAGCCCTCAAAACATCTCTGTGGCCTCCTGTGGACACCTGCAGCTTCTGAGCCTGCCTGGGAACAGAGATCCCAGTGCTGCCCAGTGCTGCTCAGTGCCTCTGCACAGCCATCAGGAATTGTCAGGATTGAAACTGCCCTCATTGTCCTCCCTGGCCTTCTTTTGGCCACCAATTTGTTTTTCCAGATCGTGTCTTAAATGACATTCTCTCTGTCCCTGTTTGCTGTTATTCCCTCAAGCAGAGGGAACAAGAAGTCACACATGATGCTGGAAGATTTTAGATGCATAAAAAACCCCAGCAAGGCAGCTCTGTGGACCAGCACCATGGCACCTCCAACTGGGCTGGTGCTGACACCTGTGTGAGGCTGAGTTGGGCACAGAAATCAACTCTGTCTACAGCAACCTACAAACACTGCACCCTTGCTGAGACCAGGAGAAGGAGTCACGGAATATCCTGGGTTGGAAGGATCATCCAGTCCAACTCTTGTCCCTGCAGACACCCCAACAATCCCACCCTGGGCCTGAGAGCATTGTCCAAACACTCCTGGAGCTCTGGCAGCCTTGGGGTCTGTGACCATTTCCTGGGGAGCCTGGGCAGTGCTCAGCACCCTCTGGAGGTGCTAAATCCCCCTGACTCATCTCCAGCCATTCCCTTGGGTGCTGTCCCTGATCACCAGAGTGAAGAGATCAGAGCTGCCCCTCAGGAGGAGCTGCAGCCCCTGGTGAGGTCTGACCTCAGTCTCCTCTGCTCCAGCTGGACACGCCAAGTGCCCTCAGCTGCTCCTTGTGTTGTCCCTCTGGATCCTTCACCATCCTTGTGTCCCTCCTCTGGATGCTCTCTAACAGCTCTAGATGTTTCTCATATTGTGGTGCCCCGACCTGCCCTCAGACAGCAGCTGGGTACATGCAGGATGCCCCCAACCAAAAGCCAGGCCAGGAACAGGGTGTTTTCCCTGGCATCCCTTGGGTGAAGGGCTGTGAGCAGGCAGCAGCAACAGCAGAGTGACAGAGCTGGCTTTGCTGCAGGATGGGCACGGCAGCAGCACTTCCTTCCTTTAAATCCCTTTTTTTTCCATTGCCCTGTGAAAGCAGGTAGAGCTGCTGGCTTCATGTAGAGGGCAGGCTGCCCAGTGACAGCTTTCACCAGGGATACCTGCAGGGATGGGGCTCCAGTGCCAGGCTGGTGTCAAAAGTGGCTTTGGTCCCTCGACTGAAAGTGCTGCAGTCGGTGTTTTTAGTGCTGCAGTTGCACCAGCAGTGTCCCTCAGAGGTCCCCCGTGACAGGGCTGCTCTATTGCCACAAAATAGCAAAAATAAAGTGCTCTGCAATATTCAGTGTGGCCTTGGGCTGTGTGAACCAGGCCAGACTCTCTGGTGCAGTGAGGAGCCACCTCACTGTGGGTGTGCTGCAGGCGATCTGGTGGCAGCAGGAGAGCTGCTTCCTGAAGCTCCCAAGCTCACATCGTCCCTCCCTCCCTGAGCCAAGCACTTTCACAGACCACAGAATCAGGGAATATCCCGAGTTGGAAGGGACCTACAAAGATTATGAAGTCCAGCTCCTGGCCCTGCACAGGACATCCCAGGTGGTGCCTGAGAGCATTGTCCAAATGCTCCTTGGACAACCTTCTTGTCCAAGCATCTAGCTGTGGGACAAAGGAGGTGGCAGTCAAGGGGGCCAGGGAAGTGTCCTGGCCCAAGGATTTGGGAGTTTACCCCTTGGGCTCCAGATTCTGCAGGAATCTTGGCTCATAAAGCCCACATAGGGATGTGATGCCTTTCCAGGGAGATCCTTTGCCTCACTCTGATCTCAGCCTGGACCCCTCAGCAATGAAGAGTTTAAAATCCTGAGGGCAGAATGGAGCATCCCTGGATCCTGGGGCTGCTCTGCATGCTCCTCATCCACTGAGATTCTGCCTTCTTTTGGAGCACCAGAACTCTCCTAGGAGAGAGTTTGAATTTAATAGATGTCAGGGGATCAATCTGTGATTTCTGAGTCTGTCAGCTGCCAGCACCTGCAGTGTCCTGTGGCACTGACTCCCCACTTACATGTTGAGTGGAAAAACCATTTTTGCTCATTTTGGAGCTGTCACAGGCTGGCATTGGAACATAAGCTTCTGGTCCCTCCAACCCAAACCATTCCATGATTCTGACTGGGGTGGAACTGCTGGGCAAGAGCACCTTTGGGACAGGAGCTGCTCCTGGTCCTTTTTTCTGGGAGTTTTCTTTGAATCTTGCCCACCAGTGTGTGCCCAACATGGGCGGTTTCTCCTTTTCCACTTGTGTCTTTCCTTCTGTAGAATGACTTCTTCACACCTTCTAACCAAGGCCTCATAAATTATCAAAGCCTGGAATAACTAGATTTAGCCAGCTTGGCTGGGAAGTTTCTATTCCTTTAAATTCTTGTGCCTTTCCCTAAGCCCTTCAAGAGTTTCTTTCCCTAATACAGCATTGCAACTTGACCCTGCAGAGCAGAGCCCATCAGAGGGAGATGGTGCAGGAAGGCTCATGGAGACAGGAGTCATCTGAGGACAAGGCAGGACTCAGAGAACTCCTCTAGCAGTGCTCTGATGTTTGGGAGCAGATGTTGGCATGGGATGGTGCTGGCAAGTGCAGACAGCAGATCCTCAGCACCTCCCTTAGGAGCTCAGGGCACAGCAGTGTCCCCAGGATGGGGACAGCCACACCCACAGGGTCTGCAGGAGCAGCTCCAGCCCTGGGAGACAGAGGGGAGGAAGCTGCAGGTGGAATGTCCTCAAATGCTGCGAGGGGGATGTGAAAAGCTGGGGCTGCCCCAACCCTGAAAGTGCCCAAGGCCAGGGTGGACAGGGCTTGGAGCAGCCTGGGATAGTGGAAAGTGTCCTGCCCAGGGGAGGGGGTGGAACTGGGTGAGTTTTAAGATCTCGTCCAACCCAAGGCAGTCTGTGACTCTGAGATTCTATGAAAATGTCATTCCTGGATGTCTTGGGTCTTACCTTGTGGAAAACCATTATGAAAATTACTTTCCTGCTTCCATTTCTTATCTCATGGAGCAGTTTGCATCCAGCTGGCAGCAAACAGCAGTGATCATTATCCCTGGTACTACAACCACAACAAAACCATTTTTCTATCTCTTTCTGGGAACAAAGTCCAACACTTCTCCTGCAAATACAAGAAAAAGGTTACTTTCATCTTGGCTGATGTGAAGTCCTTAGAGCTCTGACTTGAGAGATACTTGGAAATTGCTCTGGAAACAGGAGAAAGGTGGTTCCAGAGATATTCCCAAGGGGTGGGAAGCGTTTTGTGCCCTGGAATACGGTCCCAGCCACGATGTTTGCCTGGCCAGGTTTGAGCGAGGGGCTGTCCTGCCCTCAGGGACCACAGGAGCATCTCCTGGAGAAAAGGAATCTGTGATGTCACTTCCAGTGATGGGGATCAGCTTGCCCGACTGGGATGAGGCATTGGCTGGACCATACAAAAGGAAAGTAGAAAATGCTGGAAGAAAAGCAGTTTTACCCCAACCCAGGATTGGTTTTAAGAGCCAGGAATGCTTGGGATTAGTGTCTGAGCCTTTCCAGTGCTGTGGCCAGGATGAAGGGTGTGTTGCCCTACCATCAGATCAATGAGCTGTGCAGGGCTGTCTGGAATCTGGCAAGCAAAGGGTGCCCAAAATGAACAGGAAAGAAAGAAAATATCAAGAAGCCACAAAATGAACCGAAGTAGTTAGTAAAAAAAAAAAAAAAAAACCTACATAAAACCCCACCCAAAAAACCCATTTTTATGATTTTGTGTTTTATTTTCTTTGTAACAAATGTGGAGGAAGAAGAAATTAATTCAAAATACATCCTGTGCTACTGCCTTCAGAAATACTCAAGTCTTACAGAAGGCTGGCAGCAAAGTCAGAAAACCCATCATGGTCTAGAGGCAGCACCAGGGACCCTCAACCCCACCCGGGCACATGGGCAGCAGAAGGAGCAGGGACACTGTGTCACCAGCGGTACTTTCAGTGCCATTTAACGTGGACTGTGCTTCTCAGGGCCAGGAGGAGCCGCCACGAAGGCCCACAGGCTCGATCAGGACAAGCCAGTCACCCCTGCGGCCACTGAAGTGCTCCAGGAGGGCCCTGCCTGACCCAAGTGCCTGCCCGGGTCAGGGCCTCGGGCCTCCGCGCTGGGCCCAGGAAGTATCTCGGGGGGCGAGGAGTGCAGCAGTTCCACAAGGGGCCAGGGGTGGAGCAATCCCGCCGGGGCCGGGGCTGGCGGGGTCTCAGGGCGGCCCTGTCCCCCCAGGGCGGCCCTGTCCCCCCAGGCCCGTGCGGCGCCCGCGGCCCCGGGCCCGGCTCGGCCGGGACTTCTTCCCGTCCGCTCTTCTCGCGAGAGAACGCGCAGTGGCGTCACGCGCCGCGGCGGCCGCCTCGCGCGCGCGCGCTCTCACGCCGCCGCCGTATCCTTCCGCGCGCTCCCCCTCCCCCTTCTGGAGAGTTCTGCACGGCCACTCCGCACGACAAATAGTCCCCGCAGCTCCCCGCCCCGCCTTCCCCCTCCCGCTCTTCCTCCTCCTCCCGCCGCTCCCGCCCCGGCCTCTCCCTTCCCTCCCCTCCCCGCCACGGCGGCGTCTCCGCCCCGGGAACCGGAGCGGTGCCCGAGGGCAGCGGCGGCGGCGGCGTGGCGGAGTGATCCGCTGCGGGCGGCGCGGAGGCAGCGCATAAAGCGGCGGCGGCGGAGGGAACGGAGGAGCTGCGGCAGCGCTGAGCCCGCGGCTGTCACCGCCCGACACCGGCCAGGCCCCGGCGTCCCCTCCCCGCGCAGCCGCCACCTCCGCGCTCCTCCTCCTCCCCCCCTCCCCTCGCAAATAGTCCCGCGGGCCGCCCCCTCCCTCCGCCCGCGCCCCTCCTGCCGCCGCCTCGCGCACACAATGGCGCTGAAGAGAATCCACAAGGTAAGGGCCGAACCGGCCCGGCCCCGCACGGCCCCGCTCCCCCCGGCCCGCTCGCCTTATATAACCCGGCCCGGCCCCGGGCCTGCAGTGGGGGGGGGGGCGGGCCCGGGGGCAGGGGTCTCCGGCCCCTCCGCCCTCACGGCGGGGGGGGGCGGGGGGGCGGGGCCGGGCCGGGCCCGCCCGGGTTCCCCCCCGCGGGGCTCGGGCCGGGCGGCCGCGCAGGGGCCGCTCCCGGGGGCCGCGGCCGCTTTGTTCGAGGGGGGCCAGGCCGGGCCTGCCCGCGGGGCTGCACCGCGGCCGGGCCCCCTCTGGAGCAACGTGGCCCCCGGGGCCGGGCCGGGGCCGCGAGGGGGCGCCGGCCCCCCCCCGCCCCCCCCCCCCCCCCGGGGCCGGGCCGGGGCCGCGAGGGGGCGCCGGCGGCGGGGCCGGGCCGGGGGTGGCGGCGGCCCCGGCAGCTGCTGCGGCTCCGTGGAGGCTCGGCCCGGCCGGGGGAAGGCGCCCCGAGGAGCGCAGCGTGGCCCGCGCTGGAAGTTCCGGCGTGGCTCGTCTCGGAGCGCCGTGTCCAAGGCCTCCTCTACCTCCTCCAGCAGCGACAAGGATCGCGGTGTCGGGCAGCGCCGTAAACCTGTCACACAGTAGTGTGGTGTGCTCTCTTAATGGAGCCAGCGCTGTTGTACAGCCTGAGTCATCCCGCAGGCTTGTAGGGAAGGCTACGAGCTTGCCTTCTCCTGGAGTGGGAGCTTCGCCGTGCTCCATGTCCTGGCCTTTTGGAAAAACATTGCTGCCCAGTCTGTTGCCGACTTAGGACAGTGTTTGCTTGATCATCAGTGTCTTTTACCAGGAAAAATACCCTCGGCGGTAATTGCAGTCCACTTACATTACCTTGGTGATTCAGGCAGGGAATTTTTATTTTTTTCCCTGCAAAATGTGTAGCTGTCAGTTTGGAATCTGTACAAGGTTCTGGTGTAGAAAGCAGCCCTCCTGTAGCGTTTCTTCTCTTGATTACTATGTAAAATATTTTTTATCTAGAACCAGCTGTAACCCATTACCTCATAGCTCACTCAGTAGCCCTGTTTGGTTTTGTGTGTAGTGTCGGGTCTGTGTTAACATCTCTGCTTTGATTGTAGGTTACCTTGGAGGCTTTGTGAAGCTTCATGTGTCCTACTGATCAGGTTAAAGCTCAGGTGGAGAAGAAAACGGAAGAGAGCTTGAAGTCTTATTATGCTTGTGGAATAGGTAGCCCTGGGAAGGGAGGTATTTGGAGTATGATTTTAGACTGTTGGATTTTCCAGCTGTGGATCTGGTAGTGAGTTACATAAGGAAGTTGTGTTCCAGCTGAGTCTTGCTTCTCTGCAGTGTTCTGTCCCTTACTTTAGTGGTCCTCAGGGCATTGTGAGGACTCTTCCACAGTGTTTGTGGGCTCACAGGTGCTTTGGAAGAGCTCTTACTCCTCGGTGGTGGGTTCATAGGCCTGGGAGACACAGCAGTGGATGCTGAATAGGGTAAATGTGGCTGTGGCGGGGCTGGGCACACACAGGCAGTGCAGGGCTGTCGTGGGGATGGTGAATTTTGTGTCACGTAACTCAGGAAAGCTGCTTGGTTGTAGTTCAGTGCATGCTGAGGGTCAGGAGTCAGCACGTGTGTTTCCAGGCTGGTTTATGACAGGAGGAAAGCTGGATGCGTGGAGTCTTTGTTAACGTTGGGTGCTTGTCGACTGACTCTTCAAGAATAAAGAATCCCAAGAGATAATGGGGACTGTTGAGCGGTATGAGAGTCTTCAAAGCCTTGGGAAGTAGCAGCAACATCACCAAAGCAGTTTTGTGTGAGCTCTACAAAGAGAGTTTCAGTGGAATGAGTGTGGTGCCTGTGGAGGAGAGGGAGGTGATGGGGCTGGAGGCAGCATTTCCACAAAACAGCGTATGGGGAGGGAAATAAATCTGCCTGTTGTAGCAGCCCAGATGCTTTGGAAGTTGGATGGGCGTGAAGCTACAGGCTGGAAGGAGCACTTTGAGTGAGTTGCTGTGGGTGTCTCGGTGTAACTGCTTCAGTAATCATGGCTGGCTGTTTACGCTCTGGCTATTTTAAACCCGTGGAGAGCACTCCTATCATCATCTCGGGGTTGCTCTGGTCTCTGGGAGTGTGTAGTGGCCGTCCCTGTCAGGATAACGAGGGGACAGCCAGTTTCTGACCTTTGCTGCTGTAGCTTGTGGTAGGAGCAGAAGCCTGCAGAATGTGGAGTGAGTAGGAATAATCCCGGTGGACTCGAGCACAGAGACATGATGGGAGAGAAAACTGCTGCTTTGGCTTTTTTTTAAGGGTGTTATCAGTCATGGTATATCAGTGTGCAGGGCTCAGTCTGACCACTGGCTCTTGCTCTTGGCAGTTGAGGTTTTTACTGAACCACAAAGGCTTTCTATGAGGGTTTTGTCAAAATTTTTGTGTCCTCGGATAACACAGGAAAGGCGAAAATCCCTAGAGTGAAGGTTTGATACAGTGTTACCTGAAACGGCCTCTTGTGTGTTGAACTGGGCTGGGAGAGGGGCAGAACAAGCAGTGAGCCAGGCGTGTGAAGCAGCACAGGAGCCTGCAGGCTCCGTCCCAGTGTGTCACTGGTGGCACAGTTGCTCTTGGGATTGTGCAGAGGCTCGGGCTGGGGTAACATGTGTGCACACAGCAGCAGCTGTTCTCTACGCAGATGCTTCAAAAGAGCTCAGGCTGGGTGAGACCTGCTCTCAGATTGCTGCCTGTGTTACTCACCACAGTATTTCAGGCTCCAAATTCTTGTTTAGGTGCTTTAATTGGATCATGGGTCTGAAACTTGCAGTCTTTTCTTGGGAGAAGTGTTTGGGGTGTAAACAATACTGCCAGGCAGAGTCCTTGGGGGTAACACTGAAGTACAGTAATTTAATTGGTATTTTTATATATGCGTAAAAATGATCTGTTTTATTCTAGATGTATTTTATAAGCAAAGCAGTGTGAAGCAATCCAAAGGCAAGATGGGAGGGATGTACAGGAGGGCCTTCCATTTTAAGGTTTAAGCCAAAACCCTTTGGATTCAGCCACATCCCCATCTGTGTTGCTTATCTTTAGGGAATGCAATACCTATAAGTGGATAACTAGGGCACCGTTTGGAGTTCTTTGAATGGGAAAGCAAGGAAAAGGTTGGCTCATTGTCTTTCACGGGTTCCCCTGTGTGATCAGCGGGTGAGGGGGAAGGGAAAGCAGCAGCTGTGCTGGAGCCCTGCTCAAGTAAAACACTTTCTGTAGCAGAGGAATTGGAGATTAGCTGCCCGGTTTTTGGGCCTGTGCATTATAAGCAGTAGTAAACTGAATTGCACAGTGCTGTTCTTGTGTAGCTGTGGAAGAGGGTGGTAGTGCTTGCTGTAGTCCTGAGTCCAGAGATGCTTAGGCATCACTTCTGCCAAAAGGAGCAGCGCCTGTGGGTGGGATGTGTGAGGACAAGGGTGCAGAGCAGTGTTGGTGGTCAGAGTTGTCTTTGTGCTACCTGTGCTGAGCAGACCTGGTGTTATTTCTATGCTGCCAGTTCTGTAGAGCAGCCAGTGGGAGCAACTGGGTTCTTCCGCTGGGCCTCTCACTGCGTGCGTGGAGCTGCCAGCACAGCCCATCTGTGCTGGAGAGCTTGTGTACAGAGAATGCTGCTGCAGCTTCTGTTAGCTAGAGAGGTGTTTTGATACTCAGACTCTACACCAGGAGGAAGTTACACATTGCTTTGGTCTTCTTCCTGTTCAAGCTCTGGAAAAAAAAAAATAAAAAGGAAAGGTGGCACTTACATCAGAGCTTGTTTATAGCATGTACTTTGATTATTGCTGTGTTTCGTGACTTCTCATGCTGGTCACTTGCCTTCTGACTTCTGCAGTCTTGTGAGGAGTCAGAGTTGGGGGATCTGAGCAACTTTGGGCATTGCAAAAGCAGTTTTTGTCAAAAGGAAAGGATTAAAATGCTTCTGTTAATAGCGATGACAGCATTAGAGTGGCAGATGCTCTGAAATGACAGTCCTGTGGGTGGGAGAGCACCTATGGACACTGTAGGGAATTGTTGTTCTGACCTGGTGCACGTGTGACACTGTCTTCTGCCCGGTGCTGCTGGTGGGGAGCAGAGCTGGGGGAAATGCCTCTGGATACAGGCTCTGGCACCTGGCAGGGAGAGGCTTCTGGCCCAGGGAAGGTGCCCAGGCTCTTTGCACCCTCCTGCCCCGTTGGCCCTGCGCAGAGAGCTGGCAGCTCCTCTCTGCCATGGTCCTGAGGTGAGGCAGGGTGTGATCCCTTCGACTTTGGCCCTCATTCCCCATTGCTTGGCTTTACTCTGTCGGGAGCTGGGAACAATTCATGGCTAAAGTGGCTACGAGTTCCTTTTTGGTTACATAAGTCAGGATTTTGTAACATCTCCCTACACTGCCTGTTGCTGAAGGGTTCAGGGGCTTCAGGCAAATAAACTTGCTAAAGGCAGATGAAAAGCTTTTTTTAACTTTCAGCGGCAACCTGAGGCAGAAATCAGGCTTATAATCAAGCTAATGTGGTCTCAGTAAAGTACAGTGTGAAAGCAGCTCAGACTGGAGCAGAGTGGGAAGCCCATAGAGTTCAAGTTAAGAGGACTTTGGATAATCCAGAGGAAGCCATAGAGTGTGTTGGAGTGGAGTTGAGGAGCTCTGCTGTGTACCAAGGCTCAGTAAAATTGCCAGAGCCGACTGTTAAAGCATGCTGGCTTTTTACTTGCCTGATTGGCTTCTTGATGTTGCCAGTTATTTTGGTTATTCTTACTGAAGGCTGTATTAGCATTAACTTAATCCTTAAAACTAGTCTTATCTTTCAGCCAGAGCAGGTTTTACCAGGAATGTGTTACACTGGGGAGGGATATGTTGTCTAAAGGAGTAAATTGGAACTTCACAAACAAATGTCTTTGGTGTTGATAATTATAACTTGAAACATGTGAAGGGTTAAACTTATAAGACTTAAACCATTTGTGTTTGATAGTTTTTTTGAATGATTCTTGTGCAGTTCGTGGATGCCTGCACTGAGGTGTGTTTTAAAGGCAATGTACCAGCTCCTGGGAAGTAGAACAGGAGGGGGGTAGGGATGAGGGTGGTGGCACTGGTTTACCTGTGAGCCTCGAGGCCTTGCTGGCAGCTGATGCTTTCATGACTTGGGAAGCACAGTTGGGGGATCAGTGGTATAAGCACATTCCATCTTCTTTAAAGTGCTTTCCTGAAACCCTAGAGTAGGGATTAGTTTGTTGGGAACTTAAGAGCACAATTAAATTGGGTTTTGGAGCTTAAATGTCAGTTTCTTGTGAGATTTTTGTAGCTTTTAGGGTATCTCTATTTGTGAATTTAATGGTAGTAGGTTTATTCAACTTGACCTTTAGGCAGGACACCTTTAACCTTGCTTTGTAGTGTGCTTCCACTTCCTCATTTTTGCTAAGGGACTCATTAAAAGTTGTGAGATGGGTCAGGTTAATGGTAGGATCCACAGCAGTGGGCCCAGCCCCAGGGGTATTTTGCTTAGAGGAGATGGCAGAAACTAAATTCTGTAAGATGCCTTCAGCTGGAAAGCCAGCTCAGGGTGAGGCAGCTCTGGGGAGCTGAGTAACTCAAACTGGAACTTGATCTAAAGGCTGCTTGTAAATTCCTAAAGCAAAACCTGCATGTGCTAAAGGATCAAAAACTGTCTGGAGTGGAAACTGCTATGGCTTTCTTCAGGTTTTGGCTTAATATCAGCGTGGTCAAGGTCAGTTTTGATCATGGACCAGCAAGACTTCCTGGATCACAGGAAAAAACAGTGGGCCTTGCAATACGTTCAGAGATCCAACAGTGGGATCCAATACGTTCAGATTGTAGATGATACCAAACTGTAACTGAATCCTCCATGTGTTATAAGTTCCAGTTTTATGGGAACTCTAGAGTCATTTGTTCTGAGTTACAGAAACCAGCTGGTTCTCAGAATCCCTCAGCAACAGCTGGAAGCCAGGACCTCGCTGGGACTGCACAGGAGCCTGCAAAAGGCAGAGCAACCTCTGGGGCAGGTGCCTGGCTCTGTGCAGCAGCTGTGGGTGCTCCTCTCTGTGCATCCTGGGTAGATGCAGCCATCAGCTGCTCCTATCCTGTTCCTAAACTTGGCTCTGCAGGTGTAGTGGGAGTCTTAGAGCAGCTGGAAGGGAATGGTACAGCTTGTTAAAGGGCTGATCCATGCCCTGCCAGGAAATCAGGGGTATGTTTGCCTTTCCTCTAGGCAGAAGCAGCTGGTGCCTGCACTCCACAGGAGTCTTGAGGGGTGAAGGGGAGGAGCTGAACTCGTTCTCCAAGCTGTTCTTATAAAATCTGGGGAGCTTTGTGCTGCAGGGGCTTGAATTAAGAGTTGGTGCAATGCACTTTTAAGCACAAGGAACTTACACGCTGATTTTTACATAGACCTTTTAATCTGTGATGTTTCACTCTGTGAATTTACGGAGCAGAACCTGAAATGCCACCTTGTCAATGATACGAGTGGTACAAGTGGTTATTGTAAGTCATCACTTTCTACTGAGATAATACCCAGGGCTTCAGAAAATTCAGAAATCTCCCTGGAACTGAAGATGTAGAGAAGGAAACAGTATTTTGGAGAGAAACTGCTACTGCCTAAACTTCACTGCTGCCTCTGTGTCTGTTGGGTTCTTAGCTTGTTATGCAGTTTGGTGAAGTGGTTGGTGCATTTGGGCAGCAGGATGTAGGGGCAGTATCAGGGCAGCTCTGGAGCTGTGTAATCTGCTAACTGGTGGAATGTTTGCCCAAGCTCATGTTTGTAACTATTTCCTTTTATAACAGGGAAGGTGCATGCTGTGTGTTCATAAATATCATCCATGGTAGGTTGAGGTCATGTGTGGAAAAACCAGATTCTTACAGTTGTACCTTCCAAGTCTTGTGGATGTATATTTGTATTCAGTATTGATGCATAAAGTGGGATGAGAAGTGGTAAAGAGTATTTTTTTTTTAGTTATGTGTTTGGGGTTTTGAATACAATAGCATAAAATAGTTTTTCCAGAAAATCAGAGTCCAGTACTGTTTGGAAGTGGACTGTACACCATGCACCTTTAGAAGGAGTAGGTACACTGCTATTTTAATGTTTTCATGTCGTGTGTAGACTCACTGTGTCCTTTGCAGCCTGACTAGACTGACCCTGAGGTATGTGTAGATTTTTGTGTGTTCCTGTGCTGTCCTGGTGGTTCAGGGTGCTGAAGCAGCTCCAAAGGCCTTGTGCCTTTGGAAGACACTTGGAGATGCTCTCTATTCTCTCTAGAATAGCTTCCATAGTCCACTGTCACATCGAGGAGACTTCCAGCAGGGCTCTCTAGAAGCTGGAAGCTGCTGAGGGCAAAACCCAAACTTGTGTGTGTGTGTCAGGGCCTGTGAAGTTTTCTGGGGCACTGCATCCAGAGGGGGAAATCCACAGATTGACGTGTTTGATGTGAGGCAGCATTTCTGTGTGTGGGTTTGGTTAGTGGTGGCCTCCCAGTTCCTGGGAAGTAGAAGCTGGAACTCCCAGAGATCATCTGCTCAAGAGCTTAATCATTGCCTGTAAATAGCAAAAGGCCATTAAATGGCAAATTTCTTCCATTCCTGCAATCAGCTTGTCTTAATCATTGTACTTAAATGTTTTGTCTGCCAAAAGCCTGGTGTGGAGATTCCAGTTTGGACTGTTCTGGGGGTTGAAAAGCTGAACACACAATGGACCAGGGACAACATGGGAGTATTTCCTGAGCACTAGATAATAGTTGTCATCCTTATCTGGTGTGTGTTCAGACTGAGCTCACAGAGAAAAATGGTAATATGTTCAGGCCCATCATGCAAAGCAGGTCAATGACTGAGTCAGAAATGGAGCAGATAAAGTTTGACTTCAAAGTTTTACTCTTATTTGCACTTCCCACCAAAAAATATCCACTTCCTGAGCAAATGGCTGATGTGAATTACTGGTAACAGTAACTCTCTGAACTGTGCTGAAATTTTGCTTCGAAGTGAAGCAAAATAGTACAGCTCAGGTGTACTGTGAGTTACTCAGCCTGTTCAGACTCATAATAGGATTTCTTCAGAGGAAAATTTAACTGACGCAGCCACTGGAAAGTGGGAGGGTTTCAATGAGGTTTGTGGGTATGGAAGGCCTCGTGTTTCATTCCATTCCACCCTTGGTCACTGGTGTGTATGTGTGGAGGTGAAACAGCCCCAGGTTCTGGGAGCAGTGTGTGCTGCAGGCTGGCTGTGGAGGTGATAAACTGGATCACTGTAGCTGGAGCAGCACTGGAACTGTTACAACTGAGGGAATAAAATAAGGCTGATACTGAGAGTTGTTGGATTGAGGCCATCTTATCTCTTTGTGACCCAGGGCTGGTGGAAGGTATAATACCTTGGTAATGCTTGGGACCAGTGCAGGCAGACCTGACAACCCCTGTGACGTGAGGATTGCTGTGACTCTGGAGCCTGGACAGGTCACTGAGGCCTGTGCCTGATGTATCTCCTGGGTTTAAGATGCAACTTTACTTTCCAGAGTCCTGGTTATTAGTTCTGTGGTTCTGCCTGAGTGCCTCTAGCAGCCTTTGAGCAATGACATGGTTGTTTTTGAAATGAAGTGAAACAAACTCTTCCTGTTTTTTAGGAGTTGAACGACCTGGCACGTGATCCTCCAGCACAGTGTTCAGCAGGGCCTGTTGGGGATGACAGTGAGTATCTGCTCTCAGCAAGCACCTGCCCTCTCCCACGTTTTTCCTTTTCCTTCTGAAATGGGATGTCCAGTTCCTCAGCAAAGCTGTTTATTTTAGAGTATTAGATGATACTCCACGCCCTGATCTTAAATTTGCTGCTCTTCATTATTTCTTACACCTTCCTTGTGTGCCAGTGGTGTTATTCCCCCTCTATTGATCGGGCAACTCTATGCATGTCTTAAAATACACTTTTGAAATTAACTGGAATTCTCATGGGGGATGGTGTTAGAAAACCTCAGTAGATCTGTGGTCAAACCAGCAAGCAACTGCCCACAGCCTTTTGAACTCAGATATCTAAACTATACATGGTATTTGAAAACTGTACTCAAATCAGCATGCCCTGCCAGGTCCTTTGTAAGGGACAGCCTAAGACAAGCCTCTTGGCCTTCCTGTGCAAGTCTGTTCACCTGGGGTTTGACTGGGAGTTGTTGCTCTGGTCTGTGCTCACACTCTTTCCTGTAGCAGCTCTGACTTGTGGAAAAGGCTCCCTGAGAACCCTTGGAAGCTGTGGCTGCAATGCCCCCTAAACAGCACGCACTGAATTTGCTGTGCAGTGTGGTCTGACAAGTGATGTCAGCAAAGCATCCAGGCTCCTGAGAGAGGGGAGAGTGAAGCAGGGGATCCCTCCTTCTCTGCTGAGAGCTCTAAGCTCAGCTATCCTTTCAGAAATGGAAAAATAGCTTCCAAGATATTTCTGAATAATTTGAGTTACTCAGCAGTGCTGGAGTGTATAGAAAGTTACACATTCCTGTAGAAATGTAGGGCTACATTAAAAAAAAAGGCACTTGAAACCTGAGGGTGAAAATACTGAAATTAGTGGGAATGTTTCTGTTCAGCAGCTCTTTCAATTGAGTGGAAGCCCAGCTTGTTTTTGAGGGTGCTTAGCAATAGTTACTTCACAACTTATTTCTGCTTTCCAAATAGTGTTTCAAAGAGGTTTGTAGTTTTGTAGACGAGAAATTACTAAGATGGAGAGCCAGTCAGAGGCTTTTATTCCCTTGAATTAGCAAGTGTGATTTGTGCCATGATAAACTGTGTTTTCCAAAGCCTTATCAAAGGTGATGACGATTGTCTGGCAGAGGAGGTGGTAACAGAAGTTGGTGAGGGCTGAGAATGGAAAGTTACTACTGAGTACAGAAAGCTTTGAAGTATTACTCAGTTCTCCTGGTGCCACCTTTCTGAAAGACCTCTAATGAAAGACTTTTGTTCTTGAGAGCCACAGTTGGGATGTGTGTAAGTGGATAGCAGTGGCAGCAAGGGAAAGGTGCCTTCTCCCAAGTCCCTGTGCTCCAGGTCTGCAGCAGCTGCCTTGTCAGAGCGACATTTTCCAGCCTTCAGGACATGCTGTGCTTGCAAAGTGCTGTCCTGTGGCTATTCCAGCTTATACAAACTGTCCCCAGCTATAAGCTTCTCATCCCTGTAGTTCATGAACCTCAGAAAGTAAAGGGCTGTTCCTGCCTTGTGAACTGTAGGAATGGGATTTTCTTGGCAATGTAGTTTTAGCTTGCTTCCACCCACCTCTGGCCCGTGTTTTGGAAATGTGCTGGGGACTGGATGACATTGGTGTGCTTCCAGTGGCTTTGCCTTTTCCAAACATGTACCTGTGCTTACCTACTGAAAGCCAACAGCCCCCTGCCTTTGTAAATACCTCTGTATGGCTGATTTCAAAGGAAGGAATCAATTGGAATAAGCTCTGCATGATAAATCCATCTCTGCATTCACCAGACTTGTCCTGGATGTTATCAGAATTTAAAGCTTAAGTTAAACAAGCACCCAAGTCTGGGGTGGGAGTTGAGTGGGAGGAAACACAAACCTCCCTTCTAGCTTTCAAAAAGTTGATTGCCTGTGGATATGCTTTTATTTCTGGGGTTTTGTTGGGTTTAAGGAAATCGTTGATTATTTGAAGTTCTCTTTTCAGTGGTGCCACTGCAGAGCAATCACAGTGAATCTCATCAGCATCTACTGGTGACTGTGAGATTTTTACTGGTTTTGTTGTGATCGCCTACAATCTCCTGTGGGATTTCTGCTGCCCCCTTGTCCTTTCCTCCAGGTTTCTCCCTGTCCTGCTGCAGGTGACAGGGAGCTCCTGGGAAACTGTCTGACCCCCTTGAAGATGGGTGAATGCCACATGTGAGCTGCTATCTTGGTTTCTAATTCTGTATTGGATGTACAGTTTTTCAAAGCCAGGTTCCTGAGAGAGTGAATATTTTAAGTAGTGAAATCCTCTATCTCTGTTAGAGCTAAGAGCTCTAAGCTCAGGTATCCTTTCTAAAAGGAAAAAATGAGCTGCTAAGATCTTTCTGAATCATTTCTGAGCTACTCACCAGTGCTGAAGTGTATAGAAAGTTACACATTCCTGTAGAAATGTAGGAGTAGATTAAAACAAGCCTGTTCCAACCCAGCACTCTTCTCCCCTGGCCTTGCAGGGCTGCTCCCACTCTGCTTTTTTCCTCCTTCCTTGTATGAGATCATTCTGAGCTGTACCTGTGTAATGCCTGTACCATGTGTAATTAAAAACTGCTCGTGCTAGATGAGAACAGGTAGTACCACTCCTGCTTTTGGCCCAGGTAGTCCTGACAGCTGAGGACACGAGGTGCCAGTGAGGCACTGACACTCCCAGGTGGCTCCATCTCCTGTCTTGAAGACTTCCCTTGAAACACCTGGAGTTTTCTACAGCTCCCCAGCTCTGAAGGTGTTATGTAGGCAGACATCCATTCTGAGGGAAGCTTCCATAGTCTTAATTCACAATAATTTCCAAAGGCTGGTGCTCTTTGCACAGGCATTGGGGCCTGTGGAGATGCAGAAACCCTGAAAACTCCCCAATGTGCCTCCTACAGACTATCAGCTTTGACTGTTTTCCTTCCCAGCACAGCAACATTCTTCACAAAACCTCTGTGTTACCAGGGGAAGTTCTCTTGGGCACATGCTTAAAAGTGAGGATTAACTTCTGTCCATTTAACCTGAAGTGTGTCCTGGCACATCCTGCTCCAAGTATGGGGCAGACTGTCATTCCTGCATTCTCTTAGGATGGTTCTTTTTGCTGCTTTAATGAAATCCTGAGGCGTCTGTGGAGATTAAGGTTAAAGGTTGTGAGAACACCACTGGTTTAGGTCACCTCTGTACGTGTTTTACACAGAGCTTGGGCTTCCCCTCCATGTGTCACAGGTCTGAGTAGAGGAGCAGGTGTGAGTTCATGCTGGAGCTGGCTCAAAGAGGGCAGTCATGAGTGCTGATTCAGCTGATTCATTAGAAATTATAATGTTTAAACTCATGATTTTGAGTCTGAGAAGTTGCCTAGCACTATGTGGATTTTTATTGTGGTGGGATTTTTTGCAGGGCACACGTGTGGTACCACAGCAGTCCTGGAGTGAGGGCTGCAGAGTGTGGAGTGTTTTGCTCTGTCTCTGTTTAATTCCTTGGCTTGCTTCCCTGCAGCCTTTCAGAAGGCTTTGTTTTTAAAATAGACTTTTCTTTTCTGTGCTGCTTTGTCTGGAAGAAAGTAGATCATTACTTGAGCTTCTCCAAACTGAAGTAAATCTCTCTCTTTTTCAGTGTTCCATTGGCAAGCTACAATAATGGGACCAGTAAGTATGAGAGAATTGATGTTCATGGCTTTTTATGACTGGTGGTCCTGTAGTAACTCTTCAAGCTGCAATGATTCTTTTTCATTAACAGAACGACAGTCCCTATCAAGGTGGAGTATTTTTCTTGACAATTCACTTCCCAACAGATTATCCCTTCAAACCACCTAAGGTGAGTGGCTTCTGCTGTAAATCTCTTACCATGTGATGTATATCTGTGAGCCTACACTGAAATTTTCCTTCTTCTGCAGGTTGCATTTACAACAAGAATCTATCATCCAAATATTAACAGTAATGGCAGCATTTGTCTTGATATTCTACGATCACAGTGGTCCCCAGCACTAACTATTTCAAAAGGTACCTCCAATGCTTATTTCATTTTACTTGCTAAAACGAAGTCCTGATTTGGGATGTAAAAACTGCTGCGTTCCTGCTGGAATCCACCATTTTTGTGGTCACTGCTTCTGTCCTGTGACTCTGCATGGAGCTTGCAGCCAATTCCTGAGCATGGGACACTTAGGACATCCAGCTTCCCTGTGGCCACAGGGAGACTCCTCAGCCTTGCCAGTGGATCAGATAATTCTTACTACACTGAGTACATACTCCTGCCACCTCACCTCAGAACACTAACTAAAAATATATAAAAATATATACAAAATCAAATCTAGTGTGTGACAATGGAAGACTCTAATGTTCAAGATACGCCCAGAGTAAAATATGTAAGGGAGCAACTGTGGCTTTTAAAAGATGGTGAAGTTGCAAATTCTTTGTCATATTAAAAAGAATTTCTCTTTCAAGGGACCGTTACAGCTTCATGTTGGTAATTTTTTAACAGAACTTCCAATGATGTGGACTACTGAAACACAGTTTAAAACTTACCTAGCTTGAACAATCTAAAATAATTAGATTGGTCCCTGTGAGCTGTGTTAGCTTGTGGGGCACTGATACTTTGCCTGGTAAAGCAGTATTCATGTTTAATATAAATAGGAGGCTTTAAATATCTTGAAAGAAGACACAGGCTGGATTATTTTTGGCTATTGAAACTGTAGATTTGCAAACTGATGATCAAATCTGTAGATCTAGCCATGGCTATTTAGGAATATTTGGAGTCTGCCCTGTGCATGATCATGTCTTGACCTTTCTGTTTGTAGCTTCACACTGTCCTTGTAATCAAATGCTGCAGTTGTCACATTGATTACATTGTCCTTCACAGTGCCCCTGCTCTGAGGCTCTCCTGTTGCCTGTCCTTCTCTCCAGCTACATGTGATGTTCCCAGGCACTTTGTGGTTCAGACAGGTGATCCTGGTGCATCCCTTGGACATCATCACTGTCTGCTTTTCCCTGCCTTCCCACAGAAGTTCCCATCTTCTCTGTCCAGCTAAAGGCATTTGCAGAAGCAGATGGAAAGGCAAAACAGTATCTCCTTGTCTCTTGTCAGAAGTGAATCTGTTTGGGCACAAGGCTCAAAGTCTTGAAAGAACAGAAAAATGTGTAAATGAAGAAAAAATGGTTGATTGTCAGGTTGCTGCAGTTTCCTTACAAGTGCTCTCAGTCAGTTCTGGCTGCTCTTAGAAGCACCAGATTAGCCCCAAGCACTGATGTCTGTCTGTTCTGGTTTGATTTAATTGCTGCTTAACAAGAAAATGCTGTATTGTTTTAGGGAGTCTGAAGTGACCATATGGGTGGTGGGGTGATAGCATGATTGAAAATACTGCTAGAAAGATACAAGATAGACAAGAATTAGGACAATTGGGAGAAGATGGGGCAAGAATTTAAGAGGCTGGTCCAGGGTGGCAGTGAACTACCTAATAATGGCTGTCAGCTTTAATCACTCAGAAAATACATCCTAGTGTTAATTTTACTGCCAAAATACATTTGCAATATCATTTAACATCTCAATTTCACTCTGTGTTCTGCTTTGAGCTCTTTTTTTTTCTTGGGCTTTTCAAACTATATCCTTGTGACTCAGCTGGAATAAGCCATGGGATAAGGGTGGCTCTTCTGTGTCACCTGCCCCTTCCAGTGCCCCTCTCCCTCCTGGGTTTGGGGGGCTGTGTAGTGCTGATCACTTCTCACTGCTGAGCAGTTCAGCTGGATGCCCACACTCTGCACACAGCACAGCATCCACACAGCTCTAACCTGGGAGAAAATCTTGTCCCAGCTCCCTTGGGCTGCATCTATTGAAGGAATTAAAACAACAAAGCAAATTCTTAGAGGCAACTTTATAGGAATACTTTCCTCAGAATCACAGGGATGCCCTGGCAAAAGGCAGACTTCAATTTCAGAAGCAAAGAGCTGATACTTAGGGGAAGTGTTCCCATCTTGAACAAATGGAAATCAAGTCCACAAAGGCAAGTTGAATCTTTTGGGGTTGATATCTTGTGTTCAGTCAGATTAGAATGTGTCTTCAGGGATGTTTCAACTTTCTAGTAACTGGGCAAAGCTATCAGAGAAGGAATGTGTTGTTAGCAGGAAGAATTGTTGGATTAGATAATTTAGGGTGAATAATAAGACTTAAAACATTCAGTGATAAGCTCACACCTCTTGCAAAGCAGCAATTTTTATTTATAGTGTAGATTTCTTAGAATATTCCCTCAATTGTGCCACCTTTTAAATTGGATGCTACTGGGAGCAAGCTGTTTGAATTTAAAATCTGTAAGCAGATAACTTGGAGCACAGCTATGAAAAAATGTACTTCCTACTGATTGAGAAATTTGGGAAGAGTAGAAACAGTCCTTGCAGGAAAGAGCTTATCATGCACAGCTTCCTCCTGAGACAGCTGGGAGGCAGCACTGTCAGCAGCTCGCTGTTGTGCTCGCTGTTCATGTGTGGTAAATGAAGATGTTTTTCACCTTAACCTGCAAGGAGAGAGAGGAAGGGGTGTGCAGTGACTTCCTTTGAGTTAAAAGTGCCACTTTTTGGTGGAAAAACTGAAAAATCATATCAGTGCTACTTAATCATTCCAGTTCAGTGGTGAAGGTAGTAAAGTGAAGGCTCCTCACACTCTGGAGCCAGCCCTCTGTAAGCAATTTAATAAAATTATTATGGCTATGATGGAGGTGATTGGCATTTTGGGATTTTGTTCTGTCCCTTCTACAATTGTTAAAACTTGGGAGAAAAGCATTGACTGTCTCAGTACAGCAGCTGACTTGCTTATATTAGTAATTCTGAACTCAGTGTTCCCTCAAGACTACATACTGAAGAATAAATAATCTCAAAATGTGGTCTTAACCACACCATGATGGGTAATTTGAACTCCAAGGCTTAAGCAGAATGCGTAGGCTTAAATTAAAAACATTATCTCCAAATCTGCATAAACAAGAATCCCTATTGCCTGAAACAGGAGAATGAAGTATTTTAACATTATTACAGCCATTCTCAGCCATTTTGAGGGGGAAAAACACTCTTTTACTTGAATTTGGCAAGTGGCTGTGCAAGAGTTAATCTTAAACTGAAGCACTTCTGCAGCAAAAGTTGGACTAACCTGCTGTCTTGTCCCACTTGTCCCCATGTTTGGTAACAAATCACGGAGCCTGTGTGAATGTGCTGGATGAGCAGTGGGTAACCTCAGCCTCATTTGTGCAAGACTTCAGTCCCACTGTCCAGACTTCCATGCCTGGTGCAGTGAGGATTTTCTGTGATGTTGCTCTTCAAGAATCACTTCACTAAGACTTACTGGAAGTAATAGTACCAAGAGACAGAACTGGACATTCACAGTGCAGTTTTCAAAATCAGGAAGTTGGCTTCTGATCATCTTGGCTTTTAGTTTGCCCATGGTAGCATTTACTCACATAACTGGGGATGGCTTTGTCACAGAGCATGGGTCAATCTCTCCAGCTGTGCTGAGTTAGAGTTTTGAGGGAAATGCCCATTTTTATGCTTCGACTCTCACAACCTGTAATTGAGCAACTTGTGCAGCTTCCCAGGAGCTGTCCTTGCTCCAGAGAAGGCTGTGGGAGGAGGAGTGGTGCCAGCAGGGTGGGTGCTGACAAAGCTGTGTCTGGAGCATGTGTCCAGTGTGGATGTACAGGACAGAGCCCAGTGAAGGGCCAGGAATGCCATGGAGGGGCTGGAGCATCTCTCTTTGTGAGCACAGGCTGAGCTGGGACTGTTCAGCCTGGAGGAGTTCAGGAGGATCTTGTCAGTGTCTGTAAATACTTGAAGGGAGGCTGTTGAGATGACAGAGCCAGACTCTTCACAAGGTTCCCAGTGACAGGACAAGAGGCAGTGTGGGCACAAGCTGAAGCACAGGAGGGTCTCTGAACAGCAGGAAACAATTGATGGTGTTTTACTATGAGGATGCTGAGCACCAGCACAGGTTGCCTTGGGAGGTTGTGGGCTGTCCCACCTTAGAGAAACTCCAGAGCCCCTGGTCATTGTCATGGACAACCTGTCTTAGATGATCTCTAGAGATCCCTTCCAACCTCAACCAGTCTGTGATACACTGGGCAACACTTAACTTTTCTTCTTTTGTCACCAGAAATTGTTGAACTGACTTAGCAGGAATGCAAGTTGCTTTGAAGGCAGAAGTTTAAACTGCTCAGATTTAAAGGTACACTTCCTGTAAGGCTGGGGAAGACGGTTGGAGGAGTTGGAAATGGGGATGTGGTTAAGAAATAGGACTTAATTCGAGCAGAGGCCAGAGTTCCTTTCATTTATTTGGATGCATCTTGCCTGTTCACAGTCAGGAGCCAGACATTTGAACCTGTTGGTCAGTGGTGTCTCCAGTGTTTAATGCTGCAAGCTTAACAGTACTGATAAAGCTTTGACAACTGTGTATCTCAAGTTTCAAGAGTTCGGGGCCTGAAACTCAAAAACAGTGATTGTACAGGAGAATGCTCCTTACAGGTGTCAGATTTTTTCCCTGATTTTGAAGACTAGAGATGGAAGTAGCAGTGAACCTTTATGTGGAGGCTGCCAGGCTGATGATGAGCAAAGGAGCCCTCGCTGGTGAGAGAAGCAGGACAGCTGGATAAACCCTTCAAAACAGAATTAACAATTCCTCAGCAGCATTGCTTGTCCAAAGCTCCAATTTCTGCTGGCAGAGGTGTCTCCCAGCATAGCAGGCTCAGTTAAACCTGAGCTGACAAATGGTTACTTTCACACTCAGAAACTGGGCTGGACCAGAAGCACAGCACTGTCTGCCAGAACCCATGGCCTGCTCTCCAAGAGATGACAAATCGCTTTCCTTGGAAAGCCCTGGCACAGTGTTTGTCATTCACCCGGGACAGAGCAGGTGGGGTGGGCTGCTGCCACTGCTGTGAACTCACAGTGGCCAGGGATTGATGCTTCTCTGTTTTATCCAACTGCTCTGTGTCACTGCATGAGCTTTTCCATTATCAGGTGGTCCCGACACTGGTGTGACTCCAGCCAGGATGGAGAGTGTCATCCTGCTGTCCTGACAGTGTGGACAGCCATCTCAGCACCTTCTTGGTACTGTAACAAACATTTTGTTGGTGCAGTCTCTGTGCCTGCTTAGGGATGGACCTTTACTCCTGGATGGATTCTAAATTGGCTCCTCTTTAGAGAGCAGTAACTGCACCAAACAGCAGTTGGATCAGAACACACCAACTGTTTCTTCTGGGCAGCTCATTACCTTGGAAAAATAAGTGCCATTTGTCTCCCTTCTGTGAATTCAGCTGGAGATTCCATGGCTCCTCAGCTGCTTTTCCTTACTCTGAAGTGCCCCATGGATGAGTGCTTTACTGGAGCAAGTTTGTTTGGAATTCCAGCTAGACTTAAACAGCAGGATCTGTAGTGGTTGATACCCTGTGTCAAGGGTATGGCTGGAGTGGTGGATATTAGACCAGTCAGTCTTTGCAGACAAAAGTGAATGATTTGGGGTTTGTGTTTTGGAAGATGAGCATCAGCTGCTTTTAAGAATCTCTTCACCTCTGAGTTCCAGGAGCTTTAACACATCCAGATTTGGATGTTCCAGTAGCCAGATGGGCTTTAAATTGTGTTCTGTGCTGCTCGTTTGGCTGATGCTGGAAGGACCTGTGGAGAACTGACATCATGGATTGTCCTAATGGCTGAGCTGCTTCATAGCAGAGGAAACCCAGCCATGGAATTTACATGTGGAATTTGCATCTACATCTGCTCAGTCTGAGGTGGGGCAGGAGCAGGAAGGTGCAGGTGCCCATGGAGGGTGGTGAGCTCACCTTGGTGGTGTGAGAGCCCAGCAGAGCAGCTGCTGAAGTGGATTGTGCAGTGGGGGACTGGAGCTGGTCTTGTTGACAAGCTGTCAGTGGTCTGATTTTCTGCACAGAGGAGCTGCCTGGAGAAGGACAGCCCATGAATTTCAGTGTTGCATGCTTTGTGAAGGAAAGTTTTGCAGTGGGAACTTGGATCTCAGTTGTGCAATGTTACACTGGTGGACCTTATTTTGCATTTTACTCAAGCAGTCTTAAGTGTTCAGTGATCATTCTGCCTGATGAAAATGCATTTCTGTCATTGCTCTGTGGGGAAGCTGAGACCATTTTCTAGAAGCACATTGCTAGCAGCCCTTCTGCTTCATGGGTTTGGTTCTCCTGCTCTTTGGTGTTGAGGAGTACTTGGTCTGTGCTAGTCCCTGGCAGCAGGAAGCACACTGAAGAGTAAATTGTATCTGTTGTCTGCAGAGATAGATGGGGAGTGTAGTTGAAGGGTTGGAGGTCAGTAGGCTGCCTGGTTGGTGAAATAAAACAAAGCAAAACCAATTTTCGAGTGAAAAGGAGCTTTAAACTGACAATGGTTTAAGTTGTTTAGTGGCTAGACAGCTCTGACAGCTAAGAGTGATAAGATGAGAAATAATTCTGTACAGAGTTATTCCAAGGGATGAATCCCTTGTGTCAATGGCAAGTAAAATTTATTTTGCTATTACTGAGAAAAATCCAGACTTGAATTCAAAGAGTGCACACTTGTGGTACATCCCTGCCACTGAGAGACCTGAAGGGATGCTGCCAAGCTGATGATGCTTTGCCTATGGCCATGCAGAATGTTCAGGTGTAAAGTGCCACTTACTTGCCTTTTGTAGTTGTTCAGCCTGATTCTGTGGTTCCCAAATTTTTGGGAAATTCTCTTTTTATTGTCCGATAGTAATGTTGTAGTCATTTGACTGGAAAATGTTAAGGCTTTGCTGTGGAATTCGTTGCAGGACTCTTGGTTGCAGAGGGAGGTGACCTGGTGAGTCTCTTATTCCATGGTGTTGGTTTAACTCATTACTCTGATGGATCCAAGAACTCTGATGCACAGCTAACATTTGTAAGGGTTGCTTCCCCTTTACCCTTGCACTTGAAACTTTGAGGTGGTGCCTCTTCCATGGGATTTTTCTGTAAGCTGGTGTAAAACATGTGCATGTGCAGTGTTCTAGTGGAAAACCTCAGGAGAAACTTGCAGAATTGATTTTGGACAAATAGCTGGGTTCAGCATGATATTAAAATTAAACCAGTTTAGTTAAAAATGCTTTTTTTTTGCTGAGGATGTACAGATAAAAGGGGAATGATGTGAAGTCACCAGCAAGAGTGAGTGTAATGAGAATAGTTTGGAATAATGAAGACTTAGAAAAATAAATCAAAGCAGCTGAATGTGGCAGTGCAACATGAAGCCAAATGATAGTGTCCATTTTTATTCAGTGTTTTTGGAGTGATACTGAAAAGGGAACTGCTGGGTGTTAGGAAAAGGGGTCTGAGGGTGGGCAGAACTGCAGAGTGAGTGGTTCTGCTGATGAAGGCTGAGCCACTATGTTCAAAAAAGTCCTTGAGTTTTTAAAGGACTGTGATAACATAAAACTTGAGGGAGTAGTTACAATAGTTGACCAGAAAACTTTTGATTGGATTTCCTGTGTCTTCTGGTGAAGGCAGGGACAGATTGGACCTGCCTTGCTCGTCCTACAGCTGAAGAAACTTCAGTGACCAGAGCAATGGAGTCTGACAGACAGGAAGAAATGAGCTTCAGGAAAATTGCTGGAGAAACAGCTGTTCTGAAACTACACTGACTGGGAGCAGTATGAGGTGGCAGAGGGGTTCCCATTGAAAACTAACATGGGCTCTACTTGGTTTATAAGGGGGAAAAGAAGGTGCTGGATCTGTGCTACAGGTGCTGCCTTGCTAAGGGACAGCAGTGGCTTCTGCAGACCTTCACACTCTGAGCTGAGAGGAAGCTCAGTAAATGGTTCCTGTGTCAGTTGATGGTGGACAATCATTAAGCTCTTAACTCTCCAAAGTGCACTGTGGAAAACTGGGAAGAGAGGTTTGCTCCTTTTTTCTAGAACCTGAAATATGTTCACCCAAACCAAGACTGGTTTGTAGCCAAACTTGTTTTAGAAGCTTTGAACTGGGAATTGGTAATTCCTTAGTGAAAGGTCTACAGAAACAGGTGGGAAAACTGAACTAAGTGGCTTTGTGAGTTCTTGGTGCTCACAACACTGAGCAACTTGTGCAATTCAGACCTAAGGGCTTTCACTCTTGTCCAACTTGGAAAAAACCTGAATATCAGATCTGTTTCAGTCTTCTCTCTGGAGTGTAGTAAGGCCCTGGCACAGGTTGTCCAGAGCAGCTGTGGCTGCCCCATCCCTGGAAGCGTCCAAGGCCGGGCTGGACAGGGCTTGCAGCGACCTGGGCTAGTGGAAGATGTTCTTGCCCATGACAGGGGGGTGGAATGAGATGGACTTCGAAGGGCCTTCCAACCCAGGCCATTCTGTGATCTCTGTTTTGTGGCCCTTTTTTAACCTATCTTAACTCCTTTGTTGTTTTTATGGGCTGCGTGCTGTTTCCTTTCATTTTTCATAGATAGCTCTGCCTCCTGCAAGTGATGGAAATTGGAGCAGATTTGTGTTTAGTGTCTTCAAACTCCTCACTCTTGTCATCTGCACCTTGCTTGGAGGCTGCACTGTGACAACTGCTTTGCTGCAATTGGTAAAGGGACAGATGGAGTGGCACTGTTTGATCCAAACAGGCTGAGAGAAGGGAATGTTTGGCATTTTCGGGAGTGGGGCAAGATGTCCCTGCCATGCCTGGTGTAGTGTTGTCCCAATATGCTTTGCTTATAACTTCCTGCCTTCTCCTCTGCAGTGAGTGTAGGAATGTCCATGTGCTATTTGTGGCTTTGCAGCAGTGTCCTGGCTCCTTGTATGGATGAGGGTTGTCACTCTGCCGAGCGGGATGTGCCTTCTGGGATACACACACTATGTATTTATAGTGAAACACTCCAATTCTAGGGGTCTGTGGTCCATAGCAGAGCAAGGAGCTGGGCATTCTGCACTAAATCCTTGTCAACTACCCTTATGCTTGGAAAATAATTAAGCCTCCCAATTCCACTGCAAGACCAGCTTATTTTTAAACAGATCTCCAGGGTCAAGTTGGATGGGACTTGGAGCAACCTGTGCTGGTAGAAGGTGTCCCTGCCCATGGCAGGGATTTGAACCAGATGAGCTTTAATGTCCCTCCCAACCCAAACCATTCTCTGATTAAGTAGCTGTGAACAACCCTTGTTTCCTTCATTTCAGCTGGACTTGTCTGCTGTTTGACTTTTGATTAATGCTTCTCCAAGTCATCCAAGAGTGAGGTAGCTGCTTTAGGGAACAGCTGAATTTTGGGTGCAAAAGCAAGGTATTTTCCCAGAGGACTCTCAGGTACCAGGCTCAGGCAGACCACTTCTTGTGATTTAAGGCTATTGGTGGACAAACCTATCCAGGAGATTACTCACTGTGATGTTGTGGTTGTGAAAAGTTGTGTAGTTCACTGGTAAAAGGAGTTTGTTCAAAATCCCTTGGCTGAATTACGTGGGATTGGTTCTCCTTAAATAAATGCTGCTGATGCTACTGGCTGGAGGGGAAGCAAGTGCATGGGCTGACTGGTGCAGGTGTCCTCAGCTGTCCTGGAACTAATTCAGTGTCTCTTTTCTCTCCTTAGTACTTTTGTCCATCTGTTCTCTGTTGTGTGATCCCAATCCAGATGATCCTTTAGTGCCTGAGATTGCACGGATCTACAAAACAGATAGAGAAAAGTGAGTATGGAAGCCAAAACCCGTGGATTTTGACAGGGCAGAATCCACACTTACACAGCAAAGGGGAACTGAGAGGAACTGCTTCTTGGAAAAGAATGAGAGTGAAAAAAGGCAAATCAAAGCTCTGTGGTCTTCTTAGAGTTTTGTTTTTTTTTTTTTTTTCCCTGGGATGTTTATAGTGCCACCATCTGAGCTGCTTTAATCCCATATAACCACCAGAGGGAGAGCAAGTTACTCCAACGGGAGAATATTCCATGGCAGCTCTGGGTGTGGAGTCATACAAAGAAATAACAGAAACCTCCCTGTTCTACCTTTACTCAGAAACACAAGGGAAGAGCCAGTGGTGTAGAAGTGGGGCAGGAGGACTCTCAAGCAAGTATAGAGAACTTTCAGTGCTAACAAGCACTTGAACAGCTTAGTGTTGTTGTAAACACTTCTTACCTCTCTGTTCCCTTCTAGATATGATCAAGGAAGGGAAAATAGTCCACAAATTTGCTTCCTCTACTGCACACTTGAGAAGCAGTGTTAGAGAAGTTTATCCTGGTTTTGAGAGCTGCAAGACCAGCAGCACATATTTGGAGACAAAATCAGCAGTGATTATCTGCACTTTTAAGTGTGTGGAATTCCTTTCTATCTTTACCAAAAATAGGGAAATAAATTTTGGGTTTAAACAGAAGGAACTTGCTCCTTGGGTAGTCTCTGAGCAGGGATATAAAGGAGAGAGTTAGTTATGAGTGGATTGTCAGATTGTTTAAGCCAAAGAACATTATCTACAGACTAAATTCTAACACCAAACCAACTTGGTGTGCATAACTATAGGAAACTTCAGGCTGTGTTTTACTCTACAAATTCTGTAGAACATGAACAGCTTGCCTTCTGTTATCAGAGAGAAGCTTTCAGCAGTGCAGTTAATCACACCACTGCTTTGTTTGACACAAGTATCCTGAGCTTCCTCTAGCTGTAAAGGGTGTTTGGGTGCAAAAGCTACAGATTTCTTAGGAATTGAATTATATTGTGCCTTCAGAATGAGAAGATTCTGATGGACAGATCATTGTGTCCTGACAGTCATCAAAATAGCCAAATGTGTAGGAAGAAATAGGCTGTTGGGGTTTAGCAGATGAGTTGTTGGCAAGTCCTGGGCTTAACTTTGCAGGGAAGCAGGAGATGGGGGAATATGTTAATCTGTTTTCCAGAATGACCAAGTGAAACCCTATGGTAAGAGTTTCCCCAGGGACACAGCAGATGGGGCTGGGGGAGGTACAGATAAAGCCTTCCTGAAAATCCTTTCCCCTCAGCCCTGTTCTAGCTCCATTTTGTGCCTCCAATCACAAAGATCTTGTATTCCTGTTGTAAATGCACCCAGGTGTTTCTTTTCCATGAAGCACTTGTAGGCTTTCTTGTTTGTCCTCTTTGCATATTGTTTAATTTTGCTCTTAAATGTTAAAAATTGATGGTAGTAGTGTGATTTCATGCCATGTGTAGACTAGAGTGCTGGAGCTGAAATACTGTGCAGATGCCATGTTAAGTAAATCCTCTTTTTGTACATACAGGTACAACAGAATAGCTCGGGAATGGACTCAGAAGTATGCGATGTAATTAAAGAAATTATTGGATAACCTCTACAAATAAAGATAGGGGAACTCTGAAAGAGAAAGTCCTTTTGATTTCCATTTGACTGCTTTCTATGAGCCCACGCCTCATCTTCCCCTGTGCACATGTTTACCTGATACAGCAGTGCTGCGTGTTGTACATACTTGGAACAACAAACTAGAAATACTGTATTTCCCCGTACCAACATTGACTCCTAGCAGAGAAGTGTGTGTGTGAAAAGCTGGTTCTTCAGTCATAACTTTGTGAGCCTAAAAGCATTCCTTGCTGAGTTAAATTGGGAAATCAAATGGGAATGGGGAGAGTTCTGATGGGTTTCAGATTTTCTAGGGACAGTGTTGCTGATCCATGAAGGATTTTAAGTGGAATCCTTTTAAACTCATAATAGTTATGAAAAGCAAGGTGAAGAACTTGAAGCTGTTTCTGTATTCATTTTATTCTGAAGGACCTACACCTTAGGTAAATGTTATGACCAATGAGAAACTGTACCCACATCCTGTGTTTAAGGTCTAAGTTTAACCGGTCACCATTTAAATGGATTGGAGCTATTAGTGCATCAAGTGATGTTGATTTGTTTCAACTCTCTCCCTCCCTTCATACTTTTTTTGGTTTGTATGTGGTTTCTCAGTTAATACCTAGCTAATAGCTCTTACTTTTTCTTAAGTTTTTTAACTGCTTAGGTCTTTCTGGATGTAAGGGTAAAAAAAAAAATCCATATGACAGAAAACTTGTGTGTATTTAAAGACCCAACTGCTCCCCTGGAGCTTGTACGTTCAAGAATTAATTAATCTGTGTAATAAACTGATTACTACAGTCATTACATATAACTTTGTGTGAATAGGCTTTTAATTTTCAGAGCAGTTTGTTACAGGCTTAAACTAACGGTGGATTTCTCTAAAAAAACTTTTTGGGCTGAAGTCGTGAAGCAGTTTGGTTTGCATCACACAAGGCACCTGAAGAGGCAAACAGGAGCTTGAGCACTTAGATGAAATCAGGATGTGTAGTGTGCCAGGAACTTGACTGTTAAACCAAATAAGCAGTTTACTAAATGCGAATCAGAGTGACATTTTACAAAGCCTGATGGTATTACTCCCACTTGCATGGGACCTAACACAATGCATATGTACTGTAGGTAAGTGAAACCTTATGTAACTAAAAAAATGGATGTAAAAGGGTAAAAAAAAGAAAAAACCTACCAAACACATCAGCACAAACTTTCATAAAATGTAGCTTTTACATAATTACTTTGCACTAAACATTTGCAAATGTTCATACAGTTTTAAATTGTACTTGTATGTGTCTTTTTTTTTTTTTTTTTTTTTTTGGAACAAAAAGTCTTCACTTGAATCTAGTGAAAAAATGTAGTTTGAAACTTTTCTTTGTATACAAGTGTATTTGCCAGCATCGTTGGTGTGACAGTAGGTGAGTCTGCAAGTTTATCTCCTCTTAGTAGAATTGTAACCCAAGCCATCGGGCAGGAGAGGCTGGAGCCGCTGGCTCTCCGGCCACAGGGTCTGTCCCAGCCATTCCCAAATGCATCTTGACACTCTTGCACAAACGAGGAATAAATGTCCACTGCTTTTGGTCTAAATCTGTTCCTCTTGTCTCATCTCTCGATGTCCTGGTGGCGCAGTGCTGGGCAGCTGTGAGCTCTCTGCAGGGAGCTGTGTCCCTCTCCAGAGGCACGAGGACCTCGCTGCTCTGCTGGCGTGGGGACAGTGCGGTTCCAGGGTGGAGCAGAGCTGCTCTGGAGAAGGAAGGGAGCACGTGGCCGTGTGTCCTGGCTGAGGGACACTGCTGGGTCACAGGGGAAGGGGAGAGATCGGTGTGCAGGGCTGCAAAGCTCGGGTTGGGTCACCTGAAGCTCATGGCACTCGTGTTATCCTCAGGGTGTTGGTGTGTGGACTGTGTGGGAAGCAGCCTGTGGCCCTGGATAACACCTGTGGCATCAAACTGGAGCGTGAGCTGGTGGCTGCTGCTGTGGCTGGGGTTGTGCCAGCCAGGGTCCATGGCCTTGCCATTCCTGACCCATTGTGTTCCTGCTGGACTCTCCAGTATACCTCGGCCACAGTGGAGTTGCCCTCCCATGTTTTTCCGTGGGGTCACTGAGAAGTACAGGGAAGGGGTTGCACTGATTGTGAACAGTTTGGGGGGATTCTCTTTAACTGCTTTGCATCTGAGCCACCCAAGAATGTTTTTTGTGACAGATCTGGCTGCCTTTGGAAATTGGCAGTTACTAGACGAGATCAGAGGCTGTATGGAGGGAGAGACAGAGAGAGGAGGCAACAGTAGCAGCTGAGGGAACTGAGGAGGATGGTTTCTCTTTCTGGTGGCGCAGGAGCCACAAACATGAGGTGACAGGACATTAACAAGCCACACATGTATGGAAACAGTCCTGAACCTGTAACAGCTTCAGTTTGGAGGATGCATTAACACATCTGCCCATGTTGGGGTGAGCTCATTTGCAGTGAGGTGTTTAAACAGTTTTGGCCTTTTTGCTGATAGCATGACACAGTTGTGGTGTAGTAAAAGCAGGTCTGGTGATGTTTGAGATGGGAGGATGTGCTCTGTATACCTCCTGTGGGTTGACCACTTGTTGTTGAGGGTTGTACTGTGAACTAGATGGAGGAGCCTTTAGCATTTAACTGAAAACCTGACCCAGCTTAGCTATTTTTGGGACTAGAATCTTGCTCCTTTGAAGCTGTGCATTGAGTATGTTCTAATGTCAAAAAGCACATGAGGCCAGGGGCTCTGGTCACTACCTTTCTAGGAATCCTGAACTTGTCGTGTCATCAACCTTTTCCATCCCTGTCCAGTTTTTTACCTTGATTTAGTAATTTAAGTCGCCTGATTCCCTTTGCATGGCTTTCTTTGTGCTGGGCCTTCTGTGGATGTAGATTGTTCATGCAATTCCTTTTTATCCTGTCATGTGCTAAGTGTGTTTTATTTAAAAATAGTGCTGGGCTGCTTAGAACCCCCCAGCTCTGGCAGCAAAGCTGGAACACTGTGCCTGGATACATTCCTTGTGCTCATCAGTGCCTGTCCACTGCTCAGAGTGACCCAGAGGAGGAATGTGATCCGTGTATTTTGGAACCTCTCTTGGCTCAGCACTGAGCAGGCACTCCTCAGTGTGCAGGAGCTGGCTTAAACATTCCCATGGCTCAAAGCCCAGCCTCCGTGGACCTGCAGGCTGGGGAGGAGCTGATCCTGGGAAGTGCTGGAGACCTGATTACTGTGCTTGAAACACCCAGCTTGTCCTGTAGTGGGATGTGCTGCTGCATTTCTGTCATAGCTTTTGGGCAAGGCAAGAGGGATTTTTAAATTTACTTATTACCATGTTATCCCAATGCTTCCAACTAAGCTGCATGCTGAAGTGTCCTCAGACTCTTCTATTCAGTCTGCAGCCATCAAATAATGTGGGAAAACCAGCAGGGCTGAGTTGGATATGATCTTGTGTCCTTAGTGGGTATAGCAAAGTGTTCCCTGTCCCATGCCTCTGGTCTTTCCTGGTGTTTGGCAGCTGTGGCTGCAGACAACAATGCCTGGCTCTGTTTTTTGACAGTCTTGGTCATCTTCAGCAGCAAAACATCTCTAGAGCTGCTCATGTTCCCAGTTCTGATGTACAGGAGAAGATGAGAATCCAAGGGAAGGTCGGTGGGAAGCTCTGCCTGGTGAAAGGTGGATTTCTTTGTGCCTGAGCACAAAGTGGGGAGCAAGGCAGGAGACCTGGGGGTGTGGAGGGTGGCAAAACTGCTCGCAGTAGTGAATGTGTCACCTAAAGAACCAGGATAACAAAGCACCTGTGAATGTGCTGAGCACTCCTTTTCCAGGTGGAGGAGCCCTTGGCTAAGGCTCCAGGCGTGCCAGTGCGTCCAGGCAGAGCTTGGAAGTCACTTCCTGGGAGAATAAAAGCCTGGAGGTGTATCTGAGTGGCAGGAAGGCTGTCCCTATTAAATACAGAACCTCAGAAAAATCTCCTCATCCTTGCAGCATCAGGGAAGCCTCCCTCCCTCTCTTACAGGTAGCTGGAATGGAGTTTCACCCTCACAGCTACTGCTTCCTTCCATTCCATGGCTCTTTGGGTAGGCTTGGAGCAAAAAGGTGCAGATCTCAGTTGCTGGGGTTTGGCAAATGTGGTTTCCTACAGGGACAAGAGCATTGAGGGTGTCTGGAAGGTTAAAAGCAGGACAAACGCTGCTGTGCAGCTCTCAGGAGGCATGGAGGGAGACCAAGCCCTGTGTGAGTGACTGCACTTGGAGGCTCCGGGAGGGATCTCTGCAGCCCCTCCCTCACCTGGAAGTATGTGTGACTAGATCCATGCTAACACTGTCTGTACTCTTGTATTGTGTTGCAATTTGATCACCATTAAATAATTCCCTTAAACTCTCTGGCTTGATGGCTTTTTTTTTTTTTTTTTTTTTTTTTTTTGCTTTACCTGTGCCTCCTGCCCATTTATTTTGGCTCACGTTGCTTCCTTTCTTCTTGTGGCTGCTCTGTCCCTTCTCCCTGAGGCTCCAGTCTTGCACTGTCCCTCTCTCGACTATCTCCAGTCACCTTCATCTTGTTTTTTAAGCTTCCTGCAAAGCCTGGCTTGCTCTGACCACAGGCAGTGCTTTCTGGGTGACTTGGAGTGGCCTTGGGGGTTGTTTGTCTTCATGCAAAAATCCCTGTGCTCTCACCAAGCCCAACACTGTCCCCTTCCTTTTAGGAAACTGAGACTTGATAGAAAGTCTGTTGGTGCTCTGATTTCATCATGAGCTGTTTGCAGCACCCCAGTCCTTGATCCAGTGGGTTCACTTGAGAAAAGCTGGGATCAGCTCTGGAGCCAGAGCACAAGGCACATGAGGTGCTGAAGGAGACTGGGGATGGTGGCTCCCACAGCTCATGACTTTCTCTTGCCTGGATTTGCACTCACAAGTTCTATTTTATTGTGTTTCTGCCTCTCCATGTCCACCCCCCTCCTTCCCCGTGTGAGATTTAGTTTTTATTGTTGCCTGGTCAGGTGAAACCACCTCGGGGCGAGTGGGGGTTGGGTGTATTTGCCATTCTTGTCCTTTCATGATCAAATCTGTTTGTTGCTCAACTCTAAACGTTTCTTTGGGTTGAAAGAGCAAGTTATTGGGGTATAGATAAAAATGACATTTTGAATAAGTAGTGAATTGGTGTCTTGAAGCCACAAGCACCATACCCCAAACTTCTCTCTTCCAAGTGTCTGTGGTCCCTGTGTCCAGCTGAAGCTGAGGTGGCTTGGGAGACACATCCTGCTCTGCTGTGGGCAGTGGAGGAGGTATCTGAGCTGACCAGGCTGGGAGAAAGGAACAAGCTGCCTTGGGCCACCACAGCTGGGAACAAGTACCAGTGGCAGTGTTCTAAAGGGGGAGAGCATTAATTCCTGGTTCTGATGGAGCAAAGGTAGCCATGGAGTGACTGCTGCAGAGCTTTCTGGCTGCCTTAAGCAAAACTGGTGTTTTGTGTTTAAACCCTCTCCTTGTTCCCCCCTGAAGTGCCCGAGGCGCTTGTGCTGTTTGGGAGGTTTGATTCCCTGCCTTGTGGCTATTCTTGGGTAAGTGCTTAGCAAGTTTTATTGAAACAACCTCCCCTACAGCTTAGGATGGTGATTATTTTTCTGCCCCCTGACCTGGAGCTCTGTGAGTTGCTGCAGTGCTGCTGTCTGGGGCTCTTTGGGAGGTCTGTGCGTGGCCAGTTGAGCTTGGAGAGCAGGATTCTGCAGGGCATCAGGCAAACAGAGTCCTTTGGGTTGGAAAACCCCATAAGAACAAGTCCAACAATTCCCCCAGCACTGCCAAGGCCACCACTAAGCCACGTC